ACCATTCACTTCAACATCTTCGACGCAATGAGATATCCTAGCAATATATCTCCATTGTATCGAGTTGACGTGATTGAGCCAATCACCCAACAATTATTCGAGTTATCAAATGGGGATCTTTTGAAGATGGTGCTTAACATGAGTCTTGAAGATGAAAGTTTGAAGAATACCTTGGATATGTATACATTGGATTCCGAAGTCGAAAATATTGTGAAGGCTTTAGAAATTACTAATTCCACAAAGAAGGATGTTTCTCAAGTTACCTTATCTCATTCTCCAATCAAGATGCCACCTTCCATAATCCAACCACCCACACTTGAGTTGAAAGCTTTACCTATCCATTTGAAATATGCTTATCTAGGTCAAGATGAGACTTTACCGGTGATTATCTCTTCTCAATTGAAAGACTTTGAAGAAAACCAATTGATTGAAGTCTTGAAAGAGCATAAAGAAGCCATGGGATGGACCATAGCGGACATCAAAGGGATAAGTCCTAATGTATGCACTCACAAGATACTCATGGAAGATGATTGCAAGCCTAGGAGGGAAGCTCAACGACGATTAAACCCTCCCATGATGGAAGTTGTCAAGAAGGAGATAATCAAGCTACTTGATGCAGATATGATTTATCCAATTTCCGACTCCAAATGGGTTAGTCCAGTGCAAGTGGTTCCCAAAAAAACGGGAATCACAGTTGTGGAGAATAACAAAGGCGTAATGGTACCAACTCGAGTTCAAAATGGATGGAGGGTGTGCATTGATTATAGAAAGTTGAATTCAAGCACGCGGAAAGATCACTTCCTCTCTTCCTTTCATTGATCAAATGCTCGAGCGATTGGTGGGAAATCGCATTATTGTTGCCTTTATGGATACTCGGGTTTTCACAAATACCCGTTGCCCCGAAGATCAAGATAAAACAACTTTTACATGCCCCTTTGGCACATTTGCTTACAAGCGGATGCCATTTGGATTATGCAATGCTCCCGCCACATTCCAAAATGCATGGTGAGTATCTTCTCCGAGTATGTTGAAAGTATAATCGAAGTGTTTATGGATGATTTCACCGTGTATGGCAATTCGTTTGATGAATGTTTGGGTAACCTTAAGAAGATTTTGAAAAGGTGCATAGAGAAAAAGTTGGTGTTAAACTTTGAGAAATGTCACTTCATGGTTAATCAAGGAATCATTTTGGGACACATCGTCTCCAAAAAGGGCATTGAAGTTGATAAAGCCAAAATTGATGTCATCCAAACCCTACCTTACCCAACATGTGTTAGAGAAGTGAGATCTTTCTTGGGTCATGCGGGATTCTATAGAAGATTCATCAAAGATTTCTCCAAGATTACGCGACCAATTGCCTTCTTCTTCAAAAGATATCGACTTTGACTTCAATGTTGCATGCCAAGAAGCCTTTGACAAACTAAAGACTTGCTCACTTCCGCAAATCCAACCTCCAAATTGGAGCTTCCATTTGAAATAATGTGTGACGCAAGCAATTTTGCTATTGGAGCGGTCTTAGGTCAAAAAGAGGGCAAAGCATCACATGTCATCTACTATGCTTCTAAAACATTGGATAATGCTCAAGCCAACTATTCCACCACTGAGAAGGAACTTCTAGCCATTGTATTCGCCTTGGAAAAATTCGAATATTCTTGGGACAAAAGTAATTGTATATTCCACCATGCCGCATTAAAAGTATCTCATGACCAAGAAAGATGCCAAACCACGGTTGATTCGTTGGATTCTTCTTTTACAAGAATTCGATCTTGAGATAAAGGATAAAAGTGGTGCCGAAAACTTAGTTGCGGATCACTTAAGTCGGTTGAATGTTGGCGATTCTTCTTCTCCTATCCTTGATGAATTCCCGGATGAGCACCTCTTCCATATCTCAAATTCCATTCCATGGTATGCGGATATTGTCAATTACTTGGTTACTAAAAAATTCCTCACCCTTTACCAAGCACCAAAAGGCCAAGTTGAAGAGTGATTCTAAATACTACGTATGGGACGACCCTTATCTTTGGAAACATTGTCCGGATCAACTAATACGGAGGTGTGTTCATCAAAATGAGTCGAGTCAATTTTGAAATTTTGCCATGAATATGCATGCGGGGGACATTTTGGTCAAAACAAAACCATGCGAAAGGTGCTTGAATGCGGACTCTATTGGCCAACAATGTCAAGAGATTACCTATCTATTTTGCAAGAGTTGTGATAAATGTCAAAGAACGGGTACCATATCCATGAGGCATGAGATGATTCAAAGTTCTATCCTTAATTGTGAAATCTTTGATGTGTGGGGAATAGACTTCATGGGTCCCTTCCCCGTTTCGTTTGGTTATACTTATGTACTCTTGGCAGTTGATTACGTTTCAAAGTGGGTTGAAGCAAAGGCTAACGGCATGATGATTCAAAAACTGTTATTGACTTCTTGAAGTCAAACATTTTCGCAAGATATGGTGTACCGAGAGCCTTGGTGAGTGATAGGGCACTCATTTTTTCAATAAAATGATGGAAGCAATGACAAAGAGATATGGTGTCACACACCGGATATCAACCGCTTATCATCCACAAACAAATGGCCAAGCCGAAGTGTCAAACAGAGAAGTCAAACAAATTCTTGAAAAGACCGTCAACACTACCCGAAAAGATTGGAGCTTAAAGTTAGAAGATGCTTTATGGGCGTATCGGACCGCCTACAAAACTCCAATTGGTATGTCTCCATTCCCCTTGTCTATGGAAAATCTTGTCATTTACCGGTGGAATTGGAACACAAGGCATATTGGGCGGTTAAAAAGTGCAATTTCAATCTTGAAAGAAAGTGGAAAGCACCGAAAAATGCAACTTCAAGAACTGAGGAGTTTGAGAAACGAGTCTTACGAAAACGCAAGCATCTACAAAGATAAGACGAAAGCGTTTCATGACAAGCACATCACTCGAAAACACTTTATTCCAGGTCAAAAAGTTCTTCTTTATCATTCACGCTTAAAACTATTCCCGGGAAACTTGCGATCTCGATGGCACGGACCTTTTATTGTCATAAAAGTGTTTGATCATGGTGGGTTGAAATTAAGAGTTTGGAAACAAATCAAATATTCAAGGTGAATGGGCACCGCTTGAAACCATTTATGAAGGCTTTATACGGGAGAATTCGATAACATAACATTGGAAATACCAAATTACAAAGTTGATGGAAGCGGGACTATGTCTTGGCAAAGACGTTAAATAAATGCAATGTAATAAATAATGTCCGTTGAAGTTTTGAAGTTTTGGGTGTTTCTACATTTGAAGTTAGCCATAAAAATAAGCATATAGAAGCCTTCCAGTGATTTTGGTGAAATTTGAAAATTTCCAAAAATTTGACTTTTGCGCGGTCACCCGCGCAGACGTTGCGCGACCGACCCCAGCCGCGCAGATCCCGAGTACCAAATTACACAAACATAGGGTACAAACTGATTGTTGCGCGCGGCTAATACCCACCCGCGCAGGACGTTTGCGCGGCCAAGACTAAATCACTTTATTTATTGCGCGGCCACCTAATTGACCCCAAATTGCTCATCCCCACCCGGATAGCCGCCCCACGCCCGCTCCATATCCGATAACCCGACCCATTTATCACCCACCCTTATAACCCCTTCAACCAGTCGAACGCTTCTTCCATCCTTGTGCCTCCCGTCAACGAGCCGTCCCCACTACTCCCTCCACCATCGAAACCGCCGTCCGCCACCGGCCGGCGCTACCAGCCGAGCACCACCAAAAAGCCATCGCGCACATCTCCCGCCTCCGCCCAGTTTCTTCCACCTCCCGCCGGTTCCTTCTCCGACCGCACGTAGGCGTCCCCGTCGATCCGTTGGCATTCCCGTTGCGGTTTTTTTTCGTTGCCGGAAAAGCGACACTTCGTCGGCGCTCCACCACCACTACCTTCCCCACCCAATTCCGCCTAAACCCCACCCCTTTTAACTCCAAAATCATTGCCGGCCGCCACCCTTCTCATCCTCGCCGGAAAACCGAAAAACGTAGATCCCGACACAACCTTCCATCCAATTCCAAAAATTCTTGGGGCAACCTGTACCAAACACTCCACCGCACACCGATCTACTCTTAATTTGGGAAAATCTTATCGCCGGAAAACCAAGCTCCACAACCGGCCGCCGTCCGCCGCCGCCGCCGGCCGCCACCACAAATTTTCCCCAAAAATTTCAAAATTTTTGTTTCTCACCGGAGATTCAAAAGACTTAATTTGTGGGCTTAAAATTCAAGCTTGGGGTGCAGATTTTTGCGTATTTCTTTCGGACTTCAACACACAAAGTTGGTAATCCCTTTTAATTTATTGCATTCAATTTCTAATTTTACTAGACTTATGCTATGCATTAGGTTAAATAGAATTAGTCTTAGCTTGCCTTGAATTGATTGAATTGAATTGCATTGTGCCAAATTGCCAATTTGGAATATTACCCGGTTTTAATTATTTGATTTGATTGGATTGGTGTGAGGCGAGTGTGAGGGATAATCTTGTTCAAGTTTTTGTCTTTGCTAGATTCATTCACAGGTACAATGGCAAGGGATAAGACCATTCACGCATCTCATGGTTCTTCGCGTGAAGCTCAATCCTCGGGGCCATCCAAGAAAATGTCCACCGACCATGTTGATCGTGATGGGAACCTTACCCTCACGAGTGCCCAAAGCCGAGAGTTCAAATCCAACCTTCAAAAGCGTGCAATCCGCGCCACAAAATTTTACCACCAAGATTCTATGGATCAACTCGGCCTTGACCACCACTTGCGACAATTATTTTTCCACATTGGTTGGCACCAGTTTCTCGATCTTTCTGCACGAACCTACAAGCAGCCCACAATCGAATTCCTCTCCACCTATGCTCGCAATGACACAGCGAGGGTACTCACTTTCAAACTCCAGGTCGCAGCACCGACTCAAGTACAAAAAACTCAACAAGATCATGGGCACATATGACATCTACAACTCCGACATCTACAGCACCAATGGACTCAATTCAAAAGCTTGCCCAACGTAGAATTTTGGACCCAAATCACGAGCTTGCCCAAGTTCAATCCAGTCGCCAAAAAGACCCGTTTATCATGCATCCTTGCTGGAGAATTGCCCACCGGATCCTATCCACATCTATCTTTGCTCGTCACGAGCCGGGACAAATCAACACCGTTGAGTTGTATTTTCTCTATTGCATGTCGCGCCACCGTTGGTCTTTGCCCGATTTTGCCACCTTCTTTTTAGACAAATGTGATAGCCTCAGGACGAAGACCACTGGTGACATTTGTATTGGAGGTCTCATTACCCTCATTGGTTTGGGTATGGGCCTTCAATTTCCAGCATCTGAATATGTACCAGTGGATGATCCACCTCTTTACCTTCTCGATTGCATTACTCTCATGCGGATGGAATTAATTCTACCTCATCCTAATCTTCTTGGACATTTCTCTTGGCTAAACCATGTCAAGGACCCAATTTACATCTTACCCAATCCAAGTCTCTCCACCTTCACCACCAATGACCCCGAAACATGGTTTTTGCCTCAAGACTTGCCAGACGATGATGATGCAGCAGCCGCGGATGATGACATGCAGGTGGATCCTGACAATGCTGATAGCCCATTCGAGGCTGAAGACCATTATGATCTTCCAATCCGTCAGCTACCTCCACCTCATCCAGCTCAAGCTTCCGGGTCACACTTTCAGCCCTCGCGAGAACACTTCCAGCCACAGTATGACTACCACTCACACCAGCAACCCAATGAGCCCGACCCTGCACACGAATTTCCTCTCGATATTTACAGCCAGTTTGCTTCCTTGTGCCTTCAAGGCAATAGAAACACCGCATCCATCCATCGCATAGAGGAACAACAAGCACGCACCCACACTTACATGGAGGACCTATGGTATCATTTTCGGCCCGAGGACGGTTATCCTCCTCGTGGGCCTCCTCCATCTTGATCCCGGTATGATCCTTCCTTACTTTCATCCTAAGCATTGAGGACAATGCTTAATTTTAAGCTTGGGGTGAGGTAATCTAATCTTTTATTTTTATTGCATTTAGGTTGTATATAGTTGCATTTAGACTTAGTCATTTAGGGCATTCATAAAAATTGCATAAAAAAATTCAAAAATATTGCATATTTTCTTTCTTTCTTTTCTAATTTTCATACTTTTTAGATGCATTCTAGTTTAAGTTCATGCATTTTTGTTCTCTCTTGTCTTCTCATCCCTACAGGTACCATAGCGCCGAGTCATAAGTATTGAATCATAGATTGGTCCTGGGTCTTGATATGGAATTCCTTGTATTTGATGAATTTGGGCACGTTTTGAGCCTCACAGACCACTTTGAGACCGCTTGTGTGGGGGTCAGATGCAGGTAGCTTGATTGGGTCTAGGTGTGGAGGGATGTGGTTGGTCATGCCAATGTGTGCGAGCAAAGACTAGCCCGGTAAGGTATTTTGAAGACATTGAAGATATTGAAGACTCGCATCTTGGTTTTGGAAGGAGTACCCCTTAGTACTCCCGAGTCTCGCCCGAACCTTATTTAGTTAGATTCTCACCGTCTTTTTAGGATAGGTTATCATTTTTCTAGGGGTCTAGAGTAGATAGTTAGATAGATTTTGTTTATCACACCTTGCATTGAGGTGCTTGATGAACTTTGAAGTGGGTCCCCCAATTCACATCTTTTGGGACCAAGTCTTTTCGGTAACACCCATTTTTGAGTCATTTCCCACCCTTTTTAGTTGATCTTGGCACATTGTCAATGATCATTAGGTGTTCATATTAGCCTCCATCTATCACTCAATTTTCACTATTGGAGTCCTATGTTACTTGGTGAAAATCCTTAGACCTTCCAAGAAGCAACACAAAGAATGAAGAAATTTGAAAAAGTGAAGAAAATAAGAGCCTATTAAAGATGATTCAAGAAAAGCAACAAAAACAAAGAAGAAGAAAAAAATGAAGAAAAAGAGCAACACAAAAAGAAGAACAAGATTCCAAGTTCAAGACTTATGTTATATATCTAGTTTGCAAAAAAAAAAAAAAAAAAAAAAAAAAAAAAAAAAAAAAACTAGATGTCAAGCAGCAAATGTGACTGAAGACCCAATAACAGAAGTTCAAGATTGAAGATTTAGGTTGTTAGGTTTAGATTTAGGTTAAGTATAATTTTTATTATTTTATTTTATTTTTGATTTTTGGTGAGAAAAGGCCCCGACGATGAGACGGTAGACTGTAAAGGACAGTACAAGGGAGAAGCCTCTGAAACCGGATGTTTGCCCGGAGGCCGTGCTGCAAAACCCTATTTCGTTATTATACACTTTGGCCTGAAAATGTAGGAATCATAGTGTGTGAAGAGGCGCCTTTCCTTCGTGCACTATGGTCTACATTGGTGATTTAAAGTGCCCCCACTGGGCGCATCTCTGTTTCCTTTGTCTTGCACACCGCGACCGCATCCAGCCGTGATCTATTCGCCCATCAAGTGGTTGAGAATGTGGTTTATGGCTCTAAAGCGGGGAACATTTTGAAGATGCGTAGGGTCCATGAAGGACTAATTCTGACCATGTTGACTGATGTTGACCAAGTTCTATGGTATCTTTCTTTTTCCTTTTTAGATAGTTCATCCCGAGCTCATTTTTAGTCTTGTTCTAACTTGAGGACAAGTTAGGTTTAAGCTTGGGGTGATTTGATAGCTTATTTTATTTCCTTATTTTTATTAGTTTATTTTAGATTTTTAGATCTTTTTATCATTAATGCATTGTATTTTATTTATTTTTCTTTAGTATGGATCGTACCGGGTGCTTGTTATGTTGCATGAGATATTTTGTAGGTTTTTCGGTGCTTGTTGCGGTTGCGGGTTGATTGGAGACGGGCTTAGTGGGCTCCCGAGGCATTATTGGGCTTGGCGGAATCAAAGAGGAAGAATTGGGCTTTGAAAGTTATTGACTTGGATTATTTGGGCTTGTGAAGATGGATCATAAAATTCAAATTTTGGGCTTGGAGCATCCATTTGGTGGCTAAATGATGATTGGTGCATTTCAAATTACATGGACAAGGAGGGGGACCAAAGGAATCTTTGGTAGTGGAAGGGTGGAGTGGCTTGGTGGACCAATAGCATTACAACAACATTTGCGCGGGTGGAATTTCCGTCGCGCGGGTACCCGCGCAACTGCCCAGTTTGGGCATTTTGGTCATTTGGCTTGCCATAACCCTTGGGGATCAGATCTGGAGGCTCATTCACGATTTTCCACCATTGGAGACCTGCAAGAGGCGATTTTGGGAGCTAGAAACCATTTCCTTTCATCTTTCCAAATCTTAGGTAGTTTCTTTATGCAATTAGATTATTGTTCTTGTTACTTTGTTGCCATGAGTGGCTAATACTCTTATTTGGTTGACTTTGGCTGAAAACCAATGAATGTTTGTGGGTTTTGAAGGATTTATGTTGATTATCAATTTATTCCATGTTTATGATTCTAGTTTGCAATTCTTATGCTTATTTGATACTTTGATCATGAGCTTAGTATTTGATTGAGCAATAGTTGATTTATTTCATTGATTTTGCATTGGATCATTGAATTTATCTAGAACAAAGGCTTTATGATGGTAGAAATCATCTCTAGCTTATGAATCATATCTCCTTTATGGATGTGTAAGCATTTGACATCCTCTAGGAATTGGGGATTCCTTCATTCTTAAGGCTAATTGATTTCTTGGGATTAATTGCTTCAATTGACCCTTGATCTTAATTAAGAAGGTGTGTTGTGGGCTTCCCCAACCTCCATACTACCTATGAGGAATCTTGGCATATCATGCTTCATGATTGCTATAACCAATTTGGGATGAAGGATAAGCTTTGTATTAGATCCTAATGATAAACACACAAATGTTCATTGTGTTGAATTGCCTTAGTTAACCAATTATTCACAATCTTTGAGCATCTCATCAACTTGTTTAATTGCAAGGTTTTTAGTTATTCAAGTATTTTAGTTTTCAAGTAATCAAACACCCCCCTTTTATTTTAATTGTAGTTAGTTAGTTTAATTTCACTAGTTCTATTAAATTGCATTGGTGATTGAATACAACCATTTCCCCCGAGGATCGATACCCCTTTTTACCATTATATTACGTTTATTTAGCAATCAAAGGGTGTAATTTGCTTGGTGGGCTTGACATCCCGATCACATATTATTGTACATATTTATGTATAAGTATGCTTAAACGGACTTAGGACTATTGCTAAATACCGTAAATCATGTTCCTTGTTTGGTTGTGGGTTTAGTGTAACACCTGGTTCCTGGTACATAATTGTAATTAAAGTATTTTTCATTTTGGCCTGGGACTCGGCGAGTTGGTGGCCCAACTCGTCGAGTAGAAGCGCATTGGACACGGGAGTTAAGTGGATGACTCGGCGAGTCAGGGACCGGACTCGACGAGTCTATGCTATCTAGACAAAAACCCTAATATGAGATTTTGCACCCTATATAAACACATTAACTCAACCTCCCTTGTCCCTAACACTCTCCTAGAACTACATATCGAAACCCTATCCGTTTGTGTGTGTGTGTGTTAAGGCCATTTTGGTGCTTTTGTTGGCTTGTGAAGCTTGGAAGGAAGAAGAAGAGCTTGAGTATTCGACTTGGGGCTTGTAGATCCAGAAATCTCATTCCATTTTCTGCTTAATCAAGGTAAAATGCTCATACTTTGGTCTTTCATTTGGTTGTTCATCTTTAGAATGTGGATCTTGGGTGCATTTAGGGCTTTTCAAGCCGTTTTCGGGTTTAAGGAGTGTTATGTGGACTTTAGCTTTAGATTTGGGCCTTAAGAGGGGTCTTGATGTGCACGGAAGTACCCACTAATTTTAATATTTATAACCTAACAAACTTAGACTAACTATGCACTTATAGGCAGTGTACCTAGTCAGATTACAGTATAGCTTAGGTAAGTCGGGTGTCGATCACAGGAAACGGTGGTGAATTAATTTAAAATATTTGATTATAGGTTACAGGTCACACGAAAAGAATAAAGAAGTAGTTTAATAAATCTCAAACGAACAATTAATTGACAACTCTCGGTAAACTAACAGGAAAGCAAATCTCTTCAGGTATTTTGGTTTAGATAAATTACACCTTAAAAACATAGACAATTGCATACACAAATTCATTTATTCATGTTCACCGATTGCTAAAATGATTAGATTCGCGTTCACTATAATTAATCCTTTAGCAAACAAGTCAATTCAAACATTGATCAGTTGATTAAACTAACATGCTTCCTAGTGTTCAGTTCGTATCAAGCAAGACTTGTAAATATAGTTAATCAAATTGGTCGTTCATTTAACCTCTTGTTGATGGTCATCAAACAAGTCTCACACATTAACTTACGTATTCCCAAGTTAATCCTGGTTTCACATTCGTTATTCCTAGACTTATAATCTCGATGGTCATCAAAATCATAAGGGACAAGCAATCAAGTAGATGTTCATACAACTCAATTTACTTGGCAGTTAACAACAATTAATTATCATTAACACGTAAGGATCTTTTAACAAGCTTGGCAAGATAAATTAAACATAAACAAACAATTCAATATAGCAATTAGTCCAATAATCAAGGTTTCATTCAATCATAAACGCAAAGTAAAAGGTTTTTACACCTAAATCAGAAACTAAACGCATAATAGTATCTCAATGGAATGCTAAACATGGCCACGTTAACAACCCATATGATTATCGACATGTATCCGCTCTCCAATCCTTCCGATCTCCGCTCCCGTTAGCTTAACGGCCTTCCGACCGCCTTCTAAACCCTCAAAATGGTTTAACAGAAGTTAATTATCGACTAAATTAGGTTAGAAATCGAATCCTCCCCTCTGGTCAGCTGATAATCGCCTTTCATAACCCTTGTAACTGACTTACGTACGCTGAGCATAAGTCGGATTACGCTGGGCGTAGTGAAGATTAATAC